GGTAATAGTATTGTGACAGCAAATCCGACAAATCCAACAGCTGGACCAACAACAACAGTACCCACAGGAACAGCAGCAACAACAACAGCACCCACAGGAACAGCAGCAACAACAACAGCACCCACAGGAACAGCAGCAACAACAACAGCACCCACAGGAACGGCAGCAGTAACAACAAAACCTACAAGCCAACCGTTACCAAATACAATCTTGGCATCATCTATACGTATTGAAGACGTGATGCATCATCTTGATGACTTACAGATTATAGCAACTAATGCAGATGGTAATCGAGCCATTCATACACGTGGATTTAATGAAACACTTGATTACATTTATAATGTTCTTAAACTTAATACAAATTATAATATTACACAAAGTTTTTTTCCAGTGAGAGACAGTACCCTTGCCAGTAATCCAGTTTTACTGATTTCAATTAATGATGCCATACAGAACTATACATACTCAACCAATCTAGCAATAGCTGATTTTACTGTAGCAAGATTCTCAACATCACTAGATTTAACAGATTATGTTGCCATTACTGTTATTCCTAATCTGGGTTGTGATGACACAGATTGGGAAAATAATAATATGTCAGTGGCTGGACAAGTAGCATTAGTTAAACGAGGTAATTGCACGTTTGTTAAAAAAGCCCAACAAGCGTCAAAATACAATGTTACTGCTCTTTTCATATATAATGATGGTGCACCTGGTAATGTAAGACCTATGTCTATTAGTGTTGGTGAGGCAAATGAAATACCAGTACTCTCTCTTTCTTATACTCTTGGTCAGGAACTTGCTGATGCTGTTCAAGATCCAGCAAACAACGTCACAGCACTTATCAATATTAATCTACTCAACGACAAGCCATTACCAGTAGGTAATATTTGTGCTGATACACCTTCCGGTGATCCTGCTCAAACTATTGTTATTGGAAGTCATAGTGACAGTGTACCTGCTGGTCCTGGTATTAATGATAATGGTAAGTTATTCACATTAAATTATCTATATATCTTGTCTATCTTTCAGGTAGTGGTAGTGCAGCTAATCTTGGTCTTGCTATTGCTTTAGCTCGACTATTTCAAACACCTAACTATCCTGAATATAAATATCGTATTCGATTTTGCTGGTGGGGTGCTGAAGAAGTTGGACTTCTTGGTTCCAATTTTCATGTCAGACAAGCAAAGAATGCCACAACTGTTGGTGAGCGACTTCAAGATTATTTAATTAATCTTAATTATGATATGCTTGGATCACCTAATTATATCTTTGGTATTTATGATGGTCAAACAGCAAATAATGACACTCCATCTGAAGCCCGTCCAGGTAGCGATAAAATCACTGCTCTCTTTCGTGATTGGTTTGATACACAAAAGTTACCTTGGAATAATACTGATTTTAGTGGTCGAAGTGATTACGGTCCCTTTTTAGCCGAAGGTATAGTTGCTGGTGGTCTATTTACTGGTGGTGACGATGTCAAAGATCAACAAACACGTGATTATATGGACCAAATGCTTGGTCAAGGAATGGGTGGTATTGCTGGTGCTGACTATGATCCATGTTACCACAAGGCTTGTGATTCGATTCAAAATATAAATGAATTTGCATTTGAGAAAATGATGCAAGCAGCTGCTTATGCTTTAGAAAGTTTAGCTCGACAAGATAATCTAACACAATGGCTTTATCCAAATGGTAGATCTACACGTTCTAATAATGAATCACCACAACGAAAATATGACTCTATAAATGAATATTTTGGCATGCCTTATTTATAGACTTAATTTTTTATTTTTGTCATTCTTTTTTTATTTCTAATAATTACTAATGGTTTATATGTGCTTGATTATGAGTTCTGAACAACTATTTAGTTTTTAAGAAAATCATTGATATACAAAATATTATACCGATGTCTTATATGTTGAGCAAAAGTTTTTTTCTTTTATTCATCTATATAAGAACAAAGTCAGTGAATAATTGGTACATATTTAGTTAAATAATTCTCTTCTTAATAAATATATTTTTTATTCAAAATTTAAAACTTGACGTTTCGAACAACAATCTCGCTCTTCGTTAAAAGTGATGATATATTTTAGTATAGATATCTTATTTATATGTGTCTTTTCTTTTCTTTTCATACAATAGCGCGGTGCGGGCGATATATATTTCACGTTATCGTACCAGACTATTACCGTCTTGTCCATACCACTGTTAAATAAAAAGAAAAGAAAAGAAACATATAAGTAAGATATCTATATTAAAATGTACCATCACTTCTAACGAAGAACGAGATTGTTGTTCGAAACGTCAAGTTTTGAATTTTGAATAAAAATATATTTATTAAGAAGAGATTTATTCAACAAAAATGTCTACAACCTTCGTCAATCGAAAACAATAATTGGTACATACATTTCGATACGTTGCGAAATATTGTACGATTGAGAAAAAACAATTTTTAATTTTTAGAGATTTTCAGTATCGCATCTTGACTTAGTATATTTAAAAAAAATTCATAAACATGAGCTTTTTCATATAGATAAGAAGTTTATTAAATTACTGGTTTACTTGAATATATTTAAACAACGTCAGATTATAAAACTGAATATTTTTCAATAAAATATCATGGTTATTTAAAACGAGTAGCTAAAATCGCATGATTTAGTCTAAATGAAATTTAGTTTTAGTACTAATACACCGTTAAAGTTTTAAATGTACGACGATTAGAGAACATTGATAATCCTGTAAATATTTTATTATATAATATATAATACATTAATTTTGGCTTAAGTTGTAAAGAAGTTATGTACAGAATAATCCTGTGTGACGTTTTTGCACAACTTTGTTCTACTCTGTACGAGAAATGAACTTTCTTATCATTTTACAGTACTTTTAATTAACACGAACCTCACTACTTTTAGACGAAGTGATATACATATATCAACAGTATTTTATTATCGACTCGTTTGTTTAAAGCATACATTGGAAGAGTTCTTTGAAATAGAATCAAAATTTTTATAACAATTATTAAATGAAAACTTTATAGTTTATAGATCATAGGTTAATATCTTTAGTATTATGGATTTTAAATATATAACAAATTCGACGTTAATAATTTTTTATTCAAAAAAAATTTTGTTAATAAAAAAAATATTTTTTCTCTTCTATGACAAATCTAAAAAGCAATGTCGACGTGTCAAATCTAAACAATACAAATAATTTTTTTCACTTATTCTAATACAAACAAATATAAACGATTTTAAATGAAAAGAAAAGAAAAATGTTCAATTGATGCAGAACTTGATTTTTAATTTTAGAAGTATTTATCAATATATATATTAACAAATAAAAAACTTGAGATTTTTTTGTGAAGCTTTTTCATTAAGAAAAGGATAAAAATGAATTTTTTGTTTAATTCTAAGATTGTCGTATGTGTGCTTATCGATGAAAAATAAAAACAACACCAACATACACCCTCAATCCCACGAGAGACAATAAACTTACATAGAAAGAAACGTTTGTGTACGCCCAATCACGTCATATCTCTCTGCAAGCAGGTAATCGCCAATTGTATATCACTTCTCTTCTTTTTATTTCTTTGTTTCTTTTTTCCGAGCGAAAAGCAAGGTCATAAACAGAAAAGTGGACGGATTCAGGGTGCGAGTGCGCTTGAATAGCCCCATCTTATACCCACACCCTAAAAAAAACCGCCATTTCAAAACACCCCTACTTCATTATTTTCACGTACACTTTTAAATCGATTCAAATCCGCCAAAAACATCTTCCAGAAAAATGAGCATTTTCAAAATCTGCTTTATTTTTTATTTCGATTCGATGAACAAGCAGACTATCCTTGGCTCCAACATCCAAAAAAATCCACCATTTCAAAACGTGATTTATTTTGTCTTTTTCAATCAACACTTTTTCAGCTGCTTATAATCCCGCTACTAGTCTTCAACATCAGAAAAAAAAACAAAGTTTAAAATTCCTATTTTGCTTCAGGATTTTTGAGCGGATTATAATCCACTCAAAAACCCTCGTGATAAGTGCCCCTTCTTGGAGAGCACCCAATTTCATATTTACATGCAGGATTACTAATCCGATTATAATCCGCTCAAAAATCTTGGAGATGAAAATGTTGTTTTGATACGTAGCTGAGTTCTGTTGCGGGGAATGACTGGAGGATTACTTATCGGATTAGAGTTGGGGTTTCAATTCTCATCAATACTTAGGCTGCCTAGGTATAACTGTTTCTGTTGAAATTATATGTGTACAATTGAAGTATTTAAGCATAGTGACGAGGATTCGTTTTCTTTTGTAGAGGTAATGAATATCGGATTAAACGCGGAAATTGTCGAAACTGAATAGTTGGAAAATGTTTGGGAACCTATGGTTTTCCTTTGGGGTTCCGGGTGTCGGATATTATAGGGAAAGTGTTGGATTTTTTTCCGAGTATTACCACTATTTTCCATTTGGATATGATGGGAAACCAAGGGAAATTTTCCGATGAATTCCGATCTGGAATACTGCGTCAGGAAGTTGTTGGAAGATGTGGGAACCGATCAGTTCCGGGTCGGATTTTTTGACCTGGGTTAATTGGGAGATTGAAGAAGCTGTTAAACCGTATTCAACTGAACAAGTTCGTTTCTAATATAAAAACCATATTCTAAAATAATAAATATTTGTTTTAGTTTATTAAATATTTAAAATTTACGACACACAACTGTATTGTTGTATACGATAATGAATTAGTTATTATGAATCGAATGAAATTAAACATTTTATTTAAGTGAGTAAAGAAATTTTTCTTTTTTTTCTAGTGATACATTTTTTAATAGGTATCAGTGCAATAGTACAATAACGTCAATGTGTGTAAATCCAACAACATCTACAATTATTAATTGTAGTACAACTCAAATAAGCTTAGTTTTGTATAATTTCTTATTTAGTGATTTTATTCTAGGGTTATGTCGTGACTTTACAATTCAATGTAATTTCTGGTCAAAATTATGTCTCATTTAAAGATTTATTACGTACAAATAATGATTATAAGAATGACAAATGTGTTCATATAATGCTTTATCTTTTATATTATTGGTCAAACAATAATATTTTATAGCATCTTAATAATAAAATAAAATAATATTTATATGAACTTTTATAATTTACTTTGGATATATTAGTTGAAATAAATCATTCTTTATTATAAAAATATTTTTTTTCTGATAGGCTTGACGTTTTCGATATTGACTATTTATATTTTTGTATCATATTGATAGAATATGTTACCAATCAAAAAAGAGTTTTCAAAAATGACAAACAACTAGAAAAAGAATACAACAAAACACTCTTTAACGTCATTCAATCGTGATTGAATACATGATTTTTCACAATAATACTATCATGTATTATTAATTCTTATTTATAGCACTCTTTGTTTTTAAATCGTTTTATTCAACATTTCTTCTAAAGTAAAAAATATAACGTTTATGTAAAAATCATTTGTAAGACAATTTGAAAGAGATACATAATCATTTGAAGACAATGTATATAACGGCTATAGACTGTTTTTTACAAAATAAAGTATATCAAATTATAGAACAAGATATATCGTTAGTTCGTATACTTAAATCAGAGAGGTATTTGTCTTGATTCAAATATATATATATTAATTCTTTCGTAAAAAAATTACACCATGCAGAAATACGATTTAAGTGAAAAAAGACAAGAATGTTAATAGTTTTTCTACTTTATCATTCTATGCAGTATAAAACGCATCGAGCTATTCTCTATGTATACCATCATTAACTTTAACTTTCTTTTAAACAGTATTGATACATCGATTATCACCTTAGTTACTTTTCTTCAATTCAATTATAATGACTACACAAATTCAAATAACTTGATAAAAGTATTATTACTGATAAAACTTGAATATATTTTTTTATATGATCACAAAGGATCATCATAAACATTTCAAGCTTCTTTTTTTTGTATATAAAAATTTGTAATTATTTTATAGCAACAGTTTCAAGGTTTAATAAGAACATTATTTATACTGAAGAATACTTAACTGAAGTAATTGACCATAATAAACGTATTGAAAGAGAACAACAAAGCAATAATTCTATACTTTATATTATCTGATAAAGAAACATCAATGATAAATTCTTCAGTATTTATGTGGGACAATTTTTCATAAGAAGCTCTCATTTGTATGAATAGAAATTGAGTTTCAAAAGAAACAGTGACTGCTGATATTCAAAACAATATTACATTTTCAATGGAGAGAAGTGCTAAGGTTTTATTATGTGCGATCTTAGCTGGAATTGTTTTAATACTTGTTAGTGTTGGTCTTGCTGCAGCTACATTGGCTATTGTCAGTAGTCGATTAAAAGAAACAACAACGATAATAACACCAACATCAACCATAACAACAACAATAACACCACCACCACCACCAACAATAACAACAACAACAGCAACAACAACAGCAACAACAACAAGTTCACCATCATTCAATTCTACATATGTTGAATCAATTCAAATTTCGGATGTAATGAAACATCTTAATGAATTACAAACGATAGCAACTGGTGCAAATGGTAATCGAGCTATTAATACACGTGGTTTTAATCAAACACTTGATTACATTTATAATTCTCTTACACTAAATACAAATTTTAGACTACAAAAAAGTTTTTTTTATTTAAGAAACTTTGTTCCTGCTGGAAATCCTATTTTATTAACATCGATTGGTGGTGTTGAAAGAAATCGTACATATTCAACTACTCTTTCAGCATCAGAATTTGCTATTGTTCAATATACAAGATCAGCTAATTTTGCTAGTTATATTCCAATTACTGTTATTCCAAATCTGGGATGTAGTGATAGTGATTGGACTTCTGTAACTCCTTCTGTTATTGGTCGCGTAGCATTAGTTAAACGAGGTAATTGTAGTTTTATTGAAAAAGCTTTATTGGCTACAAAATACAATGCTACTGCTCTTCTAACATATAATGATGGTACAGTAGCTGGTAACGTAGCACCCATAGTTACTAATCTTGGTCAAGATAATGAAATACCAGCACTTTTTCTTTCTTACACTCTTGGTCAAGAACTTGCTGATGCCGCTCAAGATCTATCAAAAAATGTTGGCGTCCGACTTATTATTACTATGGCTGATGAATCAAGATATCCTGTTGGTAATATTTGTGCTGATACACCTACAGGTGATGCTACTCAAACTATTGTTATTGGAAGTCATAGTGATAGTGTTCCTGCTGGTCCTGGTATTAATGATAACGGTAACTTATTCACATCAAATAATCTATATATCTTGTCTATCTTTCAGGTAGTGGTAGTGCAGCTAATCTTGGTCTTGCTATAGCTTTAGCTAAACTTTTTCAAACATCTACTTATCCTAAATATAAATACCGTGTTCGATTTTGTTGGTGGGGTGCAGAAGAAGTGGGTCTTCTTGGTTCTGATTTTCATGTTAAACAAGCAGATATTGCTACAGCAGTTGGTGAACGACTTCAAGATTATTTAATTAATCTTAACTATGATATGCTTGGATCACCTAATTATATCTTTGGTATTTATGATGGTAAATCAGCAAATCCTAATACACCTCCTCAAGCTCTTCCAGGAAGTAATAAAATCACTGCTCTCTTTCGTGATTGGTTTATTTCACAAAAGTTACCATGGGACTATACTGATTTTAGTGGTCGAAGTGATTACGGTCCTTTCTTAGCTAAAGGTATAGTTGCTGGTGGTTTATTTTCTGGTGCAGACGAAAGAAAATCCTTTGAACAACGTGATCGTTATGATCAAATGCTTGGACAAGGAATGGGTGGTGTTGCCGGTGCCATCGAAGATCCATGTTATCATCAAGCTTGTGATTCGATTCAAAATATAAATGTATTTGCGTATGAAAGAATGGTGGAAGCAGCGGCTTTTATGTTAGAAAAATTAGCTCAACAAGATAATTTGAAAGAATTTCTTTATCCATCTGCTGAAATTCAACGATTAAATACACAAGCAAAACCACAACGGGTGTATAGTTCAATAAATGAATATTTTGGACTACCTTCTCTGTAGTTTCTTTGCTTTAAAATAACATTTGCTAGAAAATTTTATTTCATATATATTCAAATAAAAATTTTTATCTTAAAAAACTTCTATGATGTCATAACAATGAAAAGATCATAAAGATATCGAAGAAATATTTGAAAGTCATGTATAATCTTGTTGTTTTTCTGGTAATATAATAATACATTTAGTCATTGAAAAAACAATAAGAACAAAATAATTTTATTGTTTTAGTAAATATTTTCGTTATTAATCATGAGTTGAAATTGAATTTGTTCTTTTATAAATAGCGTTTGAATATAAGGTTACATTCTATATAGTATATAATTAATCTCATATGAATATATTCTATAATGTGATATAAATATAGCTTACATTGATTTATTCGATAGACTTTACAAGATCCTATGTTTTACTTAATACCACCTGCTACTATGTTTCGAATAATATTAAGGACAAAAAAAATACTTATTATTTAATTGTTGTAATAGAGACTAAATTGATTTTATGTCAGAACCCTTCTTATGTTCTTATTTATCTTCATGACGAAACCTGGAAGAAAAAGAAAAGAAAAGAAAATGAGAAAGGCTTTTTTTTCTTCTTTTGGATTCATTATATAGCATGACTTTTATTTTCTTCCTGCTAACATTTATAAAACAGCATCAGTATGCTTAACTTCTAGTTTCTTTTATTCACCAAAACAATTATGACTTTTAAAGGAATGTTAAAGATTGTAATGAACGATTATAGGAAAAAACATGTAAGTTAAATGTCCAATAGATTATTCACATAATAACGATTTTATTTTAGGAACAAAAAATGCTTTCTATAGTTGACGAACTTGTAAAAACACGTCGTGAATTACAAGAAATTAGAGAAAAACTTCATCTAGTAATTAATTTTTCTAGAAAATATTATTTTATTTTAACAAAAAATTTTATTTTCTATTCAGCTACAGTCAGGTCATAGTTCATCTTCAAAAGCTATATTTAGTATGCCAGTGCCTACCATCAGTCTATTTGTTCAATATAATGGACTTTTTAATGAATTATGCGATATTCTTCAAACAATAACTATCAAAGAACTATTGGTATGTACGTGTGAAAACAATATTTTTATGTTATAGTTCATTTTTATTTTTTAAAAATAGATTAAACTTCGTCAGCTGACTGGAATTCCTTTTGATCATCCAATATATATTCGTGTACTTAGTGTTGATGGTTTAAAAACATTATTTTTTCTTGATAACAATCTTAATCGAACATTAGCATTTTATAATGACAAATTAAAACCACGAATGATCTTAAGTATCGAAGATGATAATGAAATGAACGATATACAAAATCAACATCAACGGACATATGAATCTGATGTATGAAAAAGAAACAGGCAAAATTGTATTGTTTTTTTCTTGTTTTGTACTTTATTTGGATATCTTTGATAGTACAAATATAAGTATGAGTTTTTTATTTATATTTTGATTAATAAGCAACAATATAAAATTTTTTGTTGGTCGCTTAGCAAATGTTGATTTTGACAGCATAGAGAATATAATTTATAGTATCAGTTAATCGGCCATAATAAATGAAAATATCATATAGTTCATTGCTCAAATAATTTAATCTGTAAAAAATTGCAGCTGAATTAAAATACAAGGTTTTTCTCGCCTACACATTATTGACAGATCGTCTGAGTAATAGGATACAATATACAAAAAAATATTTTTTATATTAACTAACTAATAGCATCAGAAGTCAATAGGTACAGAAAAAAGAATACAATTCATAATGAACGTTTATAATTTGAATGAAATTGATAATTATATCATATGCTCTCAAGCATTTTATTTGTATTGATAAATATCTATATAAGTACAAATGTTTAATCAAGGTCAAATTAAATTATCACTAATTTTACAGTTAATTATTTCTAAATCTTTCACACGAAAAAAAAAATACTCAACATTTACAAATTATATTATCGTTGAGAAAAAGATATCAATCATTTTATGAACAACAAAAAAAGATAAATTTTTTATTATCGTAATAAAAATTTATCTTGATAGAAAAATACAATCAATTATAATTTTTATTTTTTATTTGTTATCTAAGCAAATATTCTACAACATCACATCATACCTTTTTTTTTTCTTTGCTTAATTGATTTCAAAGTATTTGATGACATACTCTATGAATATATAACAGCTTTTCTTATAAGGTCATTTTCTGATTACTTGTTAAATGTTTGACAATTACCATATATAATCCTTCAAATATTAACAGGTATTTCTATAGAAGATATCTGATTATGTAATTGTAGTACATTGATTTATTCGAAAGAAAAACAAATAAGTATTAAAATAATACTTAAAAACTGTCAATTGTCATATTTATAATGAATATACAAGATAGAATTAAGAAGAAAAAAAACGTGAAATTTAACTTTTAATGAAGTATGCTTTTTTTTTTAAATTTGATTTCCAGTATTCTCACTATTGAATTATATGACAGGTCAATTTTCGTTTTCTTCTTTAAATGCATCTCGTTAATATTTCATTCTATACACGTACATATATACATATATATATATATATATAAATATATATATATATGTATATGTATATAACTGAAGATAATAGTTCGTATGATATGTCTCATTTGTCATTGATTGAATGGTCATTGGCAAGCTTGAATATATGTATATATATTGAGTTATATATTCGCCTATTCTTATCTGATTTTGTTTCTTCTTTTCTTTTATTTGCTCAAAAGCGAGTCTCTTCCCTTTTCTTTGCGTTCGTTCGGCAGCAGCGACAACGACGATCACCGTTGATTGATTGTAAAATTTGTTGCATATGTTCTGTTCTTTCTCTCTCTCTCTCTCACTCTCTCTCTCTCGAATTTTTTTTTACTTTATTGTAAAACAGCTCGCGATGCTCCAGTATGGACCTTCGAGTGTATGTTGATGGTGTTGCGCGCATCATCTGTGATTTGACTCGAACAACTACTGTACATGATATCATTATTGCACTAGCTCAATATAAAGGTAAAGCAGGCAGATATTCATTAATTCAACGTGCACCAGATGGTACACAAAGAACATTGTCACCTAATGAATTAACTTGTGAACTTATTCATCATCCCGATTGGGCTTATATTTTACGACAAAATCCATCAAATAAAAATCAATCAAATGGTGAAAAACGTTCGAAAAGTTTAGATGAACGAAAACCATCAATACAACAAGAACAACAACAACAACAACAACAGCAGCAGACATTTTTTGACAGTATGTGAATAGATTTTATTACTCTATAAAATATAGACGATGTATATACACGACCTTCGCTGATAATACGTCTCACTGAGAATCATATTTTTATGACATGTCAGGCAAATATAATTGTATATGTATTTTCATTTATTTCTTAAAGTAAAAATCGATTAATTTCTTCGGACAAAAAAAAATAATATTTTAAATATCTCCATTTACTATGATCGATTTAATATTCTATTTTTTCTCTCTCTATCATGTGAAAGCTCAAGGTAGTTCTATTATTTTAAAACTACCCAAGATCGTTTTTCGATAAATAGGCGATATTATGAACATGTAAGTACATATGTACACATATGTAGATCACTTAGCATCGAACAACATACATAGACACTATGTATTTATCGTTTGAATAACACGCTCTAGACGAAAGAAGAATGAAGTTAATATCAAGCACCTAAGGTCTAATCGGCTTGGCGCTTGCGTGTCCATTATAAAGATTAGTTTAGTTTACAAAATCTATTGTCGTTTACTTGCTACTCTTAAAACAAAAAAAAACAACTATGATGTAATTCTTCATGACATATATCAAATTCTCGTAGAAAAAAAAATCTTCAATTTTATATTTAATCGGATACAATTAAAACTTCTCGTTTTTCTCTTTTTGATCAACCTCAAAAAAAAAAAGTCACTAACTATAGACGACAACAATGTATACCTTGACACATCTATCGCACATATATCTATATCTATATCTATATATAGTCACTATATACAATGTAAAGTTTAAAACAAGCAAAAGATAAGGATGAGAGAGAAGGTTAATGACCTAGGATGATGAAAGTAAACAGTGATATAAAATGAACAAAGATCAAATATACCTTGCACTTTAAGAGAAGATATTTTCTTTTTATGTTAGTGCTTTCACCTGTTACCTCATCACCATCATCATCATCGAATTACTTTCGAACAGTACAAAATAATGCGTTTGCTACATTATCATCGAATAATAAGAAACGTTCAAATATTCATCAATTATTTCCATCAATCAATACAAATAATAGCAATAATAATATAAATCTAATTGATTTATCATCATCTCTTCCTACACGTCAACGTTTATCACGTACACCTATCCAAGAAAATCGTCATCAATCTATTCAATATTCACGACCGAAATCTGCTATACCACCATCAACATTAAGTGAAAATAGTGCATTTCATATTGTTCATAATCCAAACAGTAATCATACAGGTATTCAACATCAACAACAACAACAATATATTGCATTATTACAAATACTTAAAGCACAAGAAATTCAAGTTGAACAACAACAACAAGAATTAAATGAAAAACAAAAAGGTTTTGAGAAAAATTAATTCTCTCTTTTTTTATAAAAATATGTTTTTTTTGTTCAAATAGAAATTGAATATCGCGAGGCTATTCTTCGTCAAGCCCAAATCTATCATGAAAGTATTCAACATGAATTACAGATACTTGAAGAACATGATCGACGTCTTTTTTCTGAATGTCAAATAATTGCTCAAGATTATTCATCGGATAAATTAGAGTTCGAATTAGAATATCATGAGAAATTACATTCCAATTATGAACATTTACAACAACAATTAACACGTTGTTCAACAACTTTAGAACAAAAAAGACAAATACAAGATCAACTTCAATTTAATATTTCACAAATACATGAAGAAATACAACAAATGGAAACAGTTATCACTAACGATAAGAAGGTATTTATTTTGTAATTGAATTCAGAATCAAGAGCGTCGCTAAGCACACGGCGACCTCCCACCTTAGAGAAAAAAAATACCTGGAGGGGGGGGGGGGTCAAACGATCCGCAGGGTGAAGAGATCTACTGCTGGCGTGCATACTACTTGTTTAAATTGAAAAAAACTTCCATTTTTTAATATTTCTAGGAAATTCTTCAATATCAATATGATCTTGAACGTTCAAATTCTTCTTTTAAACAACAAGAAGATTTATTATATATATTAAACCAACGTAATGATGATATTGAACGTATTATTCAACAAGATCAAAAACAAATTATTGAATTTGAAGATGTATTAATCGAATTTGATGATCTATTAAGCAAAAATAGTAGGTTAAATGTTTTTTTAGAACAAAATAATATTTCATATATAAATTTTTAGCTATTAATTTAAGCAATACTTAGACGAGGTTAGCTTATACTACACATTGTGTGCATGCCTATATGTATATATATATATCACTTTATAATAATATTAATTAAAACAAATTTCAGATGCTTGTTTTATTTCTATTTAATAGATTTTGCTAATACATCATATCATTTTCATGAAACATCATCAACTGGTATACTTATGCCAGTTCATCTTCAACTTATGAATAGTACTTTATTAAAAATATGCCCAAGTGGTATATGGGTTTAAAAAGAAAAATATTCCATTTATTTTTATATTTATATATTCAAATAAATAAACAGTGTTTTTTTTCTTTCTTTCTTAATATGTAATTTGATCATAAATCCAATCGAGATAAGTAGATACACGTGTATAAACTCTTGGCAAATGTTTTTGCGCACAACCTGTTCTAGCAATGATCATTAAATAACATTAGTGGTGATCCACTATTAGCTTGACAGTGGCGGATTTAGGGGGCGGGGGCGCGATGGGGGTGACCGCCCCCCCCCCTTCCGAATTTGTTTTGATTTTTCACAGCAAAACTGAACGAAAAAATAGGTTCACACTACTTCGATTGAACTCAAAAAATAGCTTTTAGCTAAAATCGCCCCCCCCCCTTCCAAAATCCTATATCCGCCACTGCAGCTTGACATGTATCAGATAACCAGCACAAAATTGTTGATTAGGAAAATCAATTTCTTGTTCGAAACGTAGATTTGTATGATTCTCATTTTCTATTATTGATAAGAGTGGGACAAATGTTTGATGGTAATATTGAATTTGAATTTATGAATGGATCTATTGTATAACCCCAAGGTTTTATTCACTGGTTAATATATATATATATATGTAAAATGAGGAAGATATAACATTTGAATAATTGAACGATCTAATCGTATTAATACTATGTCATTTTTATAAGTATTAGGATTACAATCTTTATGTAAAATAACTTTTTGAATAGAGAAAAGATTTTCATATGAAATATCATTTGAATTAGTTATACAAATACGAATTTCAATATTTGATATACCGATTGAATAAAGACAATGTGCAGCTGTAAGAACATATTCAGAAGTAGTAAATGTACCTACACATATATGTTTACGTTTATAACCATAGCTAATCATCCTGCTCGATTAGCTGATTGTGCATTAATTATTTTTATATCCGATTGTATTGAACACCCACATGAAACAACTGATGTTGATCGTATATAACTAATTTCATTATAGATCTCAAGTAATTTGCGCATTGTTTGTATTAAACACTGATGAAATGATATTATCTATCAATATTTATGAATATCGATATGTTATTTTAATCGAGCAATACAAAAACGAAACAATTGCTTATAAAAGTCTTTTTATTTCTATATCACGATTAGTAACAACTCTTTTATGAACAATTTTTTCATCATCTGCTAAATTATTCCATTGTATTTCAAGTTCTTTACGTATACTTAAATGATGTGTTAAAGATGATTTATCATCGAATATTTCATCTCGATCAATTCTTGTATAAGCTATTTGATGAAATATATCATTATCAATCGCTTCATTTTCATATTTATTTTGATCTTCTAATGGTAATTTATTCCATCGTTTAAGTAATTCCATTTCAATTTGAGTATTTGTTTTATATTTATCTATCTAGATGAAAATTTTTTAAAAAATACTTGTCAATAATGATATTCTTACTTGTATATGTTTTATTGCATGTCTATTAAAAGCAGCAAGTGTTATTAAAGCAAGATAATCTTTATATGAACATGTTTGTTCTCGTTCTTCATAAGCTTGCTTAGTTAATTTAACAGTATATTGAAGATTAGTTGATGAAGAGATACTTTTTCTACTTAAATTTGATTTAGAATTTTTTTGTATTTTCGTTCGATTTTTCGATGAATTTTTTAAAGTCATTTCAAAATAAATAATAATTATAAAAGGCGCATAGCTACAGGTAGAATTTAAATAAACCGTTTTCTTTGAATGATAGAATTACAAAAGTGATGCGTACTAGACTATCAACTGACATTTCATCATGTTCTATCAATCACCCACTACTGAATAAGACCTGATAGAATTCGTTTGTTTGAGTTTATCAAAATCTATGGCACGTGCAGAATAGTGAGTACGAGTCGTTTTAGCTATACTTTCTAACTTTTTTGTTGGCAGAATACGATCAGTCATACTATAATATATCATTACATATAACACTGTCCTATACTAGTACTAACATAGTCGACTATCCCCAGCGAAATCCCTGAGGAGTTTCTTGCTGCTGATGAACCCATTGGTATTGAGCACTTATTTATGATCAATGAAACGCTTCTATTTTTATCTATATCGATTGCTTTGGTTAATACAAATGATGATTATCAATAGATACAACGATAATTCAAAATAGAAAGTTTGAAATCACTATATTTTGAAAATTTAACTCGAGATATTCTCCTACAATCAAAAGAGAGCAACATATTCTTTTCTTATCTCATCTATACGTGTGAAGTAATAGCTACTCTTGCTGATAATATTTTCTTTTCGGACAAAAATAACCACTTGACATTAAAATAGAAAAAACATCTAACAATATTATGTTGTATTTTTAATTCTTTTATTACTATGAATTTCTCTTTGAAATAACGTGTCCTGTTTTTTATTCTTCTTCCTTTTCTACTACCGTTCTATTCTCATCTGACAATGAAAAAAGGTAGCATTCTTTCATTTTAGTTGGTTTTTTCCTTTTAAATAAATTTCATCATACACTCTAATCATTTGCAACAATGCAACAAAGCCGGTAAATTAATACAACGAAGAATTAATACGATAAATTCTTTTTAGAGTTTCTAGAAATACTTCGACAAGTCATAAAAACTTCTTACCTTGTAAAGATGGTTATGATTGTCAATTACAATATGATAATGCAACTGAACATAATACATCCTATTCTCATCCTTGTCGTTGGTCAGAATTATGTCGTGATATGAATAGAGATAGTGAACACACACGTCATTTCACACATGCTCCACACCAAGCTATTCTATGTAAATATGGTAATGAGAATTGTACTAAATTAACAAATCCTGAACATCGTAGTCTTTATCGACATGAAGGTCTACCAGACTATCTGTTACCGTGCAGACATCAAGATCAATGTAGAGATCGATCAGTAGAACATTTAAAAAAATATAAACATCCTTCAAATTTCTATGAAAATACTTCAAGTAAATATATAGCATTAATAATAAAAATTCATTTATTTTACTCCATTCAGATTTGAAATCGAATACAACAAGTAATAATAATAATCAATTTGAATTTAATCAACAAGCTTGTAGATATGGTAGTACATGTCGTAATCAATCGGATTCAAATCATTGTAAACGCTTTAGTCATCCAACTACAACCGCTTCATCTCAATCATTGAATTTAAAATCTACGTCTAGTTTTCATGCATGCAATACTAGTAATGATATGGAAAATGCTTATCGTATCGGAGCAACTTTAGCTCTTGAAACACTTAGTCAATCTGATCAACAAGCAATTAAAAATATGTCTGCAGATTCAGTTATTGTTGTACCAGGTACATATGATCATATCGATCGTGTTCTTAATAGTTTAAATATAAAATTTACAACTGTTAATCAGAATGAAATATTAACTTATCCATTTCGTAATGATCAAACAGTTTATATAAATTGTTCAACAGATTTTCCAACTGATGCAGCTAGACGAATACGACAACATGTTGAAAATGGTCTTCATATAATTACAACTGATTGGGCATTAAGAAACGTTCTTGGAATTGCATTTTCCGATTTCGTTCGACATAATGGAAAATCAACAGGAGATGAAGTTGTTGGTATACAAGTTGCTGAACCTAATCATCCATTAGTTAATGGTTTTCTATCGGCATCTAAACATGCCCAACCACAATGGTGGTTAGAAAAGTATTCCCATCCAATTGAAATTGTTAATAGAGACAAAGTACGCGTATTAATTCGATCAGAAATCTTAGGACAAAAATATCAATCTGATGCTGTTCTTGTTACATTCGATTGTGGAAAAGGCAATGTTATTCATATGATATCACATTTCTATTTACAACGTTCGGAAACTCGTGATGCTCGTCATCAAATGTCAGCTAAACAATATGCATTAGATATAAAAGCATCATCGGCTGCTACAGATTTTGTTGTAAATCAAGGTCAAAATTTAAATTATGCACAAATTCAATCATCATCAACATCAGCACAATTTATTTATAATCAAATATCTAAACGTTTAAATTCAAAGAAATAATTCTTTAATTTTTGTAATTTGTGAACTTTGACTGGATAAATCATTTTCAGAAAAAACAGAATTTTCTATTTCAGTTGTCATAGATTGCGTTTGATTATCAATATGATCTATTGTTTGTTGACGAGATTTGAAAAGTTTCTTACGACCATATATTAAACCAATAATGAAAATAATACTAACAGTCGAGAGAATACTAATAATCAACCAAATTGTTAAACTATTTTTATCATTTTTTATTTGACTTTCTATGGAATCTTTATCGATGATTATTTCACAAAAATCACCTTGTGTCAATGGATTACAAGTACATGCATTATTTATACATGATCCTTCATTTTGACATGGTTTATCGGTATCTAAACAACCTTGTTCTTAAATATATATAGAACTGTATTTATATAGATCGGAAATATAATAGAAATATCTACCACAAAACATTCCTTGAAAACCAGTTTTTAAACAATTGCATGTAAAATTATTTCGGCCATTTAGTTTACATTGGCCATTATTATGACCTAAATTAATTTTAATATAATATTCATGAATAACTCGAATATCTTACAACGTTCAGCTGGGCATGGATCTATGGAAAATAAATTTTTTTTTATAATATAATTAAATTATAAAAATCATTTCTTTACATTCACTGGAATCACATAAGTCGCCAGTCCAACCAGAATCTTCACAATCACAAATAAAACTAAAAAAATTATCTATTAAGATTACATGAAAAGAACTTGAATTCAATATAGACATTCTTTTTCAACCGCTTTCATTCGAGATTTACTGTACTAGAGAAGTTTTCTCTATTGAATTGTAGTGCTTTGGTAGTAAATGTACAGATTAGAAAAAAGTTATATTTCATATTATATATTAACATCGAGAATTGTCAAGATTATTTAGTCACGCAGTAAATATTTCAAGTTCCTCGTATATATATTCATTTTTCTTGATCGATTTTGTAACAATTCATATGATTTTTATGGTTATCTCAAATAACGTCGAAAATATAAAGAATGAATGTGGGTTAATAAAAGATCGACACTCACACGTACACTCTACTGTATTGTATTAATGGGATGATAGTGCCATCTTTACTAGGATTATATAGCGCTCTTCTATTCATGTAAGACTCAGCTAATTTCGGGAAAGAGTCATAACGCACCAACTTTTTTTACGATTTCCCTGAGAAGATGTTCGTCACGACTTCTAGACATATAAAAACATACAAAATCTTCGGAATGACAAAGATTTAAAACAAGCAGGGTGTTAGAGCCGGTATGGGTGTGAGTGTATATGTCATTCTTCTCTCATAGTACACATCCACAGCCATACCGTCACTCGATTTCTTGAAAATATTTCACATACTGTTCAGCATTTCGCTCCGATTTACCTGTATTTTTTAAGCTATGGTCCCCCTGACCATCATGTTTTACGGACTCCCGGTAAAAATGGTAAAAAAAAGTCGAATCCGAATACCTAGTACGTTTTGTCTTTGTCCCCTAATTTCAAGTACTGAAAATATATTTTCAAAAACCTTTCGTTAGTATTACTGTCTAATTTCTCAGCGTAAACATGTACCATACTATTTACATTGTATGAGTACTTTCACCATACTATAAATAATTATGTGTATATATATTCCAATTCAAAGCTTACTTAGTTGTATTATCCTAATATAAAAATAAATAGTTACAATATATTGAATTATAATTTAATTTTATCAACGTACCATCTGTGAACATTTTGTATTATGTTGACAAGGATTTGATAGACATGGATCTAAAATAAACTTCTGTATTATTTAAAAATCTTTTTTTCTATCTTATTTACCTATAGCAATTTCACAAAGTAATCCCGACCACAAAGAATTGCATACACAATCCCCTGATTTCGTACAATTACCACCATTTTGACCTAAAGTAATTAATATATCGTATGTAAATACCAATTTCATTCACTTACAATATGATGATAGATTACCACAATTTTCCGTACAATAAGCACCACCATATGGTGTTTCCGTACAATCACAAGCGATGATATCTTTTTCAGTTACTGCAGTACATATACCATCATTTTGACAGACATCTTTATTTTCGTTACATTTTGTTTGAAAAGTAGCTGATGCTTAAAAACAACAAAAATCAATAGTAGTTCAATTGATTTCATCGAAATCATTTACTTCGTTGACAAGCAGGTGATAATAGTTCACCTGGTTGTTCATCATCCAAGCAAAGAACAGGTTGTTGGTTATAAAATAAACTTTTCCATCTGTATTTTAGAAAAGTTTTATTTTCTCTGAATTTTATTCATTGATCATTACCGAGCAAGAGCAACACGAGTTTGATGTAGTCCATTTTCACCCCATGTTGGTTGTTGTTTATATGTCAAAGGCTGATAAAAGCCAATGAAAATTATTTATATCAGATAGAATACAATTTACCACTCCATTAACACCCGGTGTACACCACATTGAACTATTTTGATTAAATTGAAATCCGTTATTATCAACCCATGAAAATTGACCAACTTAGATTAATAGATTTTATGTTTTTTTCTAAAGCTTATAATGATTATTGACTTACATTTAACAAATGGTTCATTCATTGCACCTATCCTATAAATATTTTATATTTAATTCAATAAAAAAAGAATAATAGACTACCAATATCGACGATAATATGAATCTCCTACATGAGAAAAAATATATTCTAAAGTCATTGCTGTTCCATGTTTCTATAAATTTATGAATTTAATTTTTTAAAATGAATTTAATAATTATATTTACTCGAAGCCAATCTAAATCATCTGGACTATTAAAAGTAATTAACTAGAATAACATCAATTTTATATAAAGAAAAGTGAAACAAATAATTTATTTCTTTACATCAGCTTTGAAAACTGTTTGACATCGATGTCTCGCATCTGACCAAAACGTTGTGCGATCTTCGAAATAATAACAACGTGTTTCTAAAATATAAGAAATATAAATATCATCAGAAAAGTAGATATAATCAAAACCTCTGTAAAACCAATTAGTCGGACAGTAAACACAACGATGACCTGTACTATCCCAAAAGACATTGCCTTGAGTTGTACTATATGGTTGTCTACAAGTACATGTTTTTTTTTCATCACATATTACACGTCCTTCACGCCAATCAGCACAATCATGCGTAAAAGTACAATTACCATCATATGGAACATCTTGTGCATCTATATCAAATGTATAGAATAAGATTTGTAGAAATTAAGAAAAAAAAAACTTACTCAAATAAGTATATTCAAATGATATAATGGTTATAATAAGAATGACTAGCATAAATGAATTACAAATTGAAAAGTTATTTAAGATTTGAATGCATAGCAACAAGAGATATTTCATGTTCTAATTTATACTAGAAATTATCATAATATACATAGAATTTTTCAAAAATAAGATCTACAGCGATTAGAGTTATATTTTTTTCCAACGAGGTGGACTTTGAACATACCATCACAAGTAGGGAACTGCAAAATCACTTTTTTTTGGTCCCGGTCCCGGTCTTGATAAAAGCTTAAGAATAATTCTGGTGCTGTCTTCATATATGCAAAAAAAAATATGACGTTCACAAAAATTCTCACTTTTTCGATTGTAAATTCAATCTATACGGTTTTTCTTGGACTATAAAATAACACATTTGTCAGTTCTTAATTAAAGAAAAAATAAAAATAAATAAGAAAATGTCTGGTCTCATACTTGATAAAAACATTGGGGAATTAGTTGACAATTTAAGTCTTGGTCCCACCGGGATCGGGACCACTTTGCAGTTCCCATAATCACAAGTAAATATCTATTATTAATATTCGCTTGGCCACAGCTGACGATTTCTGAGACAAAGTAACGTGCATTTCAATATTGAACAAGCTTCAAGTTATAGGTTATATGATTAAAATCAAATCTTTTTACTTTTATTCTTAATTATCGCATTATTATCTTGAAAATATATATTTTATTGTAAAAAAAGTACAAAAAAAACATAAGTATTCAAAGTCCAACTGCTTCTGCACTTAATTTCCATAATTGATTAGCTAATGTATCATCAGTACATAAAGAACTTGGTTTGACAGCAGTACAATTACTACAATGAATATATAGATTTTTTTTGTAAACATATAAATATACATACTCGAAATAGAGATCATGTGAATGTTCAAGTCTAGGTTCAACTGCACAATAAATTGTTGTTCGTGCACCTGTTTTTGGTGTTTTAGCAAAGGGAACTTTAAGTATACGTAGTATTGGATAGATGAGTAGAGCAGCAGAAAATCCAAGAGCTTCTCGTAATACGGAATGAATTGATGTCCATACCCAACCAGGATTTAATGTAAATGTATTAATACCTTCTGCTAAAATAAATAAAAAAACGATGAGACAACAGAGATAAGTTATTAGTACATACTAGCAAGTAAATCATGTTTTAATTTGTAGGATGATAATATTTGAAATGCTTTCGATGCTGGATATGGACCCCAAAAACGAAAAGTTTTAAATTGTGTAAATGCATCGGACCAATCAATAGATCGCATAGCTATTTTTAAATGCAAAAAAAAAACAAATAATTTATATACTTGAATTATCTCGTATACAAACATCTATGTGCACCAGATGAAACATTAACAATTCGACTTGGTCGACATTTTTTTAATTTATCTAATAATAGATTTGTTAATAAGAAATGACCAAGATAATTAGCTTGAATAATAGAATTAAATCCATCTTTTGTGACTATATCTGGTGACCATGCAAGACCAGCATTACAAATTAAAACATCAAGTCGTTCTTCTTCAGTATTATATAATTTAGCAAAATTACGAACGGATTCAAGTGAACATAAATCACATTGCATAAGTCGAAGATTTTCTTTGTTAAATTCAATTTCGGAACATAATTGTCGAACTGCTTCACGACCTTTATCCATATTACGACAAACAATAATTACTCGAGCCTCTAAAAATAACTCAAATTTAGAATAAAAACAAAAAAAACAAAAATCAAACCTCGTTGAAGAAGATCTTTAGCTGTTTCATAACCAATACCACTATTACCACCAGTAACAATAACAGTTTTACCTTGCATTGATTGTGTACTAGCATTAAACTTACAATTTACAAATAATTTATTATATAACCATGCTGCCATCACTGAAAATATACTCATAAATAGGAATATAATATATAGAGAGAAAAAGACTATCATACTTGTTCCAGTAAGAACAAAGATAGTAATACGATACTCATTGAAGAATTGATGAGTTATCGAAAATAAATTATCAATCGTTGATAAAGATGCTGTCGATGATGCAGTTATCGTTGCTACTGTTGTTGCTGCTTCAGTCATTTTTGAACTATTTTATATCTATTATAAAATGAGATTTTATTCAAATTTTTAGAACAGACATCTAGAAAATATATAACTAATTAATAAATATAAAAAAAGCAAATATTATCTAATAACAATTCACCAATCGATAGCTAGAAAAGTAAATGATATGACACTATCGACCTCTATTATATAACTTTAATGTCCTGTTCTAGCCAAAAAAGCAACTCAACGTAGTCACCTATCAAATCATAAGTTAATATAACTCTGAACTATAACTTGAAGCAGTAGCGGATTTAGGGGGGGGGGGGGGGGGGGGTGATCGCCTCCTTCCGAATTTTTTTTTGATTTTTTACAGCAAAAATAGGTTCACACTACTTCGATTGGACTCAAAAAATAACTTTTAGCCACGATCGCTCTCCCTCCCTCCTCAGGTATCGCCCCTCCATACTCAAAAACAATTACCCCTCCCTCTTCCAAAATCCTAGATCCACCACAGACTTGAAGTGATATCATTAATGAATATATAAACGAGTCTTACTCAATACCAGAAGTGTATGCTGAACTAACATTATTAAACATCAAACCTATGTTTATGATTGTAAAACGAATATGATAATTCTTTTTAATTTGTAACAAATTACATATCACTATTTTTATTTGTAAAATATAATTTAACATGTAAAAAGATAAAAAAACAGATCACAGTCCAACAGCTTCACAACTTAATTTCCATAAATATTCAGCCGATTCACTATTCGTACATAATGAGCTAGGTTTGGCCGGAGCACAATTCCTTAATAAATATATACTACTTATTTATGTATGCTTAATATGAAATATACTCACTCAAAATACAAAATATATGAATCTTTCAAAGATGGTTCAACAGCACAATAGACAGTTGTACGTGCACCTGTCAATGGTGTTTTACCAAAGATAAATTTTGCAATAATTAACAACGGATAAACAATAACAAAGAGCCATGTGCCAAGTGCTGGATGCAATGAATCTTGAAATGAAGTCCATATCCATCCGGGATTTAATGCAAATACATCAACACCATAATCTATCATTAGAATACAATTCAATGGAGGAAAAAAAGTAGATATAAATTTTACCTAATAGATCTTGTTTAAGTTTGTAAGATGATAAAATCTGACATGCTTTAGATGGGCCATAAGAACCCCATATGGCATCACTTTTAAAATTAACTAATGCGGTTATTCCTTTATTTGTTGGAGGATCTATTAATTATAAGACAATAAATAAACTATTAAGTTAATTTTTCTTATTACATTTATGTGCACTTGATGAAACATTAATAATTCGACTTGATCGACATTGCTTTAATTTATCTAATAATAGATTTGTTAATAAAAAATGACCGAGATAATTTGTTTGCATAATTGAATTTAATCCATCTTTAGTATAAATATTCGGTGAATAAATAAGACCAGCATTACAAATCAATACATCAAGACGATCTTCTTTTGCATTATATAATTTAGCAAATTTTCGAACAGATTCAAAAGAAGATAGATCACATTCCATTAATCGAATACTATCTTGTTTACATTTTGTTTCCAAATGAAGTTTTGTTAATGATTGAAGACCTTTACTTATATTACGACAAGCAATAATAACACGTGCACCTAGATAAATACAAAATTATTAGGTTTATATAATTAAATAAGAAATCAAACCTCGTCGAAGAAGTTCTTTCGCAGTTTCATAACCGATACCAGCATTACCACCAGTAATAAGCACTGTTTTATGTCGCATAGATTTGTTACGTGTGTATAATAATCGATTGATATAGAATTTATTGTATGACCATAATATTATTACTGAAAAGTAATTAGATTTAATCAAAATTTACAATTAGAAATTTCATACTTAGATAAATTATCAAACAAATAATTGTACTATATTGTTCGAGTTGGCGATAAATACTTCTAAAGAGATTAATAATAATTGATGAATACATCAATATTATATATTTTATAATCTAAATAGGAAAGAATTAGAATGAAATGATCTATATTTCTACATTGACAAAAAAAACTGTAGAAGTGCTTTATTATCAATACATATATTTTGTGCATCTTTCGAAAAAACAAAGCTGTTAGAGCAATTTCAAATATGAAAACATGATCGAATTATTTTGGAATACATTTCTAAAATATTATTTTACTCATGCGTTCATATAGTTCTTGAGTTTCTACCAGCAGTATTGTTATACAGTCGGTGGTTATTTATTAATGAAGGTTAGTAGACGTGTCTGCCACGAGTATTCTATTACTAACTCTTATTAATTATGAGATTAATAATCAGCCTCAGAGTACTCATGTTAGATTAATTAATAAAATGTCTATGGAGAGAAGCGGGGAATGGATACAAATCTCTATTCTTAAATACCTCGACATTTACTTTTTTAGATCATGTTTCATAGAAGCAAAGAGTTAGTGCAATATGTTTCAAATTGTAATTCAATGCATAACATATTGGTGATCAACAATCGATCTATTTGAATTTTTTTACAAATGCTCGAATCAAAAAACATTTCTCAAGCAAAATATTTCTTACAAATAAAATAAATATTAGTGAATATTATTCAAAAGAACAGCATAATATTACAATCATTTCAGATAAATTAAAGAAAACATGTATGAATATTCAATATAACATTTATTTATTATTTATATATATATAAATATATATATATGTATGTTATAAAAGCTGTAATTTTAAACTTAAACATATACACTTCATTTATCATTCATCTTTTCTTTTTCTTTTTTTTTCTATAATAGAACAAAAAATCGCCATAACTATCTGAAATATTCTATATACAAAAAGATCATCATCTTGAAAAATATAATGTATTAAACATAAATTATAGTAGGAGGTCCATTTATCATTTGATATTGTCGATGAGATTTTTCATTATCAGTACTAATTGTTTCATGATCATAATCATCATCATTACTACTTGTACTACCATGAATCATAATTGTATCATCTTCATTCCATATAATTGGTTCAAGTTCTGTATTTGATGAACTTGTACCAGTTGTATTTGTTCCAATAATTGAATGTGATGATATACGTTCCAGTGATGTTAATGGATTATTACTTGATGATGATAATATACCTTTCGTATTATTCATATCATTTGGCATTAATATTAAATCATATTCATAAGGAGATAAATGTGATGATTTGGAATTAATTATATTTTTTTGATGAGCAAGTTTCGGCGAACGATGATGATGTCTATTTGATATTTGATTTAATGATGATGATGATGAAGATCGATATTTTCCATGTAATAAAAAATAAATAAGAATAATAATAATAATAACAAGAATGATAATAAAACTAATAATTAAGAGTACAATGCTTATTGAAAAGCCAACACGGGATGAAGATATTTGAACTAAAAAATTATAATCAACATAAATCAAATAAAATTTAAATTAAAATACGTTTGTCTTGATTATTGAAAAAGGATAATTGATCTCGACATATTGGACAACAATGACCAGATAATGTCACTGTTTGAGTACAAGTTAATTGGGGACATTTAGATTGATGACAAACAATTGTTCCAAGTAAACATTCACAATGATGACATTCGCTTACCTAAATATCAAAAAAAAAGAAGATATATGTTACAAAATGAAATAATCGAAATTATTCTTAACTAACATTCCAATGTTCACCCGAACGATATTGAATAAAATTAAAAATACAAACAGCTACAGCAGCTGTTGGTGGAAGACAAAAAGGACAACATTGGCCTTTTTTAAGGATAGGATTTGAACATGGTAAATCTTGTTTACATGTTTGTGAGAAACATTCGATTTGTCCATTACCACCACGTGGACATAAACATGATTGACAATCATTATTTGTCCATAATTCACCTGCATTTTTTATCATACCATTATCAAGTATACATACATCGTCATCAATATTTAATTTATTATCAATTATTGATAATGATTCAGATGATGGTGGACAAATTGGACAACATAATGATGAATCATAAATAGGAGATGAACAAGAAAGTGGTGGACATAATGAGATACTACAAAATGCAATGTTATGTAAACACATACATTTTGTACATTTATCAAATTCAAGTTCTTCGCCAGTTACATATTGACTGGCGTAACATACTTGAGATGATGGAGTTGGTTCTGGTAATAGACCGGGATCTTAAAAAAAAAAAATAATATTTTTAAATTTTATAAAAACAAGATTTCTAACCTGGACATGAAGGACAACATCGATTTGGTAAGAATATAGGCTGTGAACATTTCGGTGCTGGACATGATATAAGAGCGCATAATTGTTCACCTTTATGACATAAACATTGTCGACAACCATCAAACCATATTTCACCATTTGAATAAGAAAATAAACCCGATTGACATTGTCGAGGCCATGAATGTACGATAAGAGCTGTAGTTGAAGTTACATTACTTTTACAAACACATATTGGACATCCAACTTCATTTTTTTTTTAAACCATAAGTACAATTTTTTGTACAACTTAATTGTGGGCATGGATTACAGGCACAATAAGGACAACCTGTTTGTTCATTTATTGAATAACTATATGGACAATGTTTATCACAATGTAATTCGCCACAATTTAAACCAGGTGGTGATGAACATAAACAATATTGTTTAGATACTTTTTCAAATTTAATCGTACATAATGGTGTTGGACATGACATAGTTGAACAAGCACATTGAAAACAACCATGTTCATCTTTAGTTAAACCATGTTCACAAACAAGTAAACAATTATCTAATTTTGGACATTTATAAATTGATGTTTTTGATATAGGTTGAATGATAGAAAGATTTTTTTCGAAATTATTTTGATCTTCATAATCACATACCGGACAACAAACATTAGCAATTTGACGTGGATTTTCACATGGTGGAGCTATACATCCTTCAGCTAAACAACGTGATCGACCATTTTCACACCAACATCGCATACAACCATCGGATTCAATCCAAGTAGAATTCATATGTTGAACATTAAGACGATCATTTAAACAACCTAATTATATAATGTTTTTATGAGAAAAAATAATACTTTTAATAACTAACCTCCACATTTTGGACAACATTCATTTTCTGGCTTATACATATATCCACAATGTGTATAGGTTGGACATTGTATCATAGCGCAATCAACACGTCCAGCACGACAAGTACATGTTGTACATTGATCAATTGACCATGTTTCATTCTCATTATAAATTTTTTTATCATGATAACATTGTTCCGAATCTTGATTGAATAAAACAAACAAATCAAACTAATGATTATTATTGTCTATATATTCCCCTAGTCTCACCTACTCGTAATGCAATTAAATTTATCACAACATTGTCCTGGAATATATGGGCTGCCTATACGATATATTTGCATAATAGAATTTTCTCCACATATAGTTTTTGGACAAGATGAGCATATACATTGACCTCGTGGTTCACAACAAATTGATGAAATATTAGTTTTTGAAAGAGTCAATGATGATGTTCCTAATAGAGACGTATGATCTTCAATAAAATGACTATCCGATGGACAACTTGATGAATTTATTGGTGCAGTATTACAAATAATCTTTGAACAATCAATTGAGTCTTTGGCTAAAAAAATAAATTTCATATTTAGATAAGATAATCTTAATAAATGTTAGTATTTTCTTATCAATATTAATGCTACATTACTTAAATTACAAGCGACATTTTAATAGTTGTTGTGTCTATCTATGATATAATAAATCATTCTTAGCATAATATTTTTATTCGATTTCTATTTATATATTTTCAGATCGATACATTTATTCTAGGATAACTGTTTACTCCGGATCATTTAGATCGCAAGGTTTACTATGGTAAATAAATATCTTGTACCATAAACAAACTGGGTAATAGAAGATTCTTTATGGTTAATTACATTTCTATAATAACAAATTAAAAAAAAATTTATTTTTTACCATCACTAGTCTTCAAAGAACTTAATTCGTGTTCCTGTTGAAATATTGATTGATTTTGGCAATTATCTCTTGTATCATAATTAAGATTTTTATCGCACGGTATACGTCTATTTATACATTCACAAGTTTTCTCATTATTTTTAATAACTGATAAACATTGAAATTTTACACATGCTAAAAAGATAAAAAAATAAAAAATTTCGTTTTTTTATGAAAATCATATAAATTTAACCTTTAACACATATTCCAGTTTGTTCATGAAGATTTTTTACTGTTGTTATTGTTTTATTTGATTTATAACAAACTAAATCTTGTTCACATATACCATAAACATTGAATCTTCCACCGCATATATCTTTCTCTTTTCGAAGACATACAGTACAACAATCACAATGATCACGTATTAATTTTGTACAATTTTTATTTAATAAAGCATATTGATAACAATAATCAGTAATACAAGATTCATGACATTCAGTTTGATAACCAGATAATGCTGTTGATTGAATAGGTACAACAATTAATTTTAATTGTTCATGATGATGTTCATCGGAATTTTCACTTGTTATAGCACCAAATAGAAACGTCCAAAATATAATAGTAATAATAATGAGCAGAGAACGCCCGATGAGCATTACTGCTCGACTGTTAAATGCATAGCCATTTTCAGACTAATTTAAATGATGTTGATGGACGACTTGTTTGCTGATACCATTGAAGCATTCCAATAAAATTCGGCCTAAAATAAATAAATGAATTACTTTTATCCTTCACATTAAAAGTTAAATCAATAATAACATCATTTCTTTACAGTTTTCCTGTTTCAATAATATGTTGTTGGTACTTAAAAAAATATTTTTTCTCTCTTTATTTTAATACGAGAATAACAAGTTGTTTTTCAGATGACTTTATGCATACATTGATCAAGACTATTAATATCCTTCAAAAAAACGTAACTTAACCTACACTTTTCTTTTTTATCCGTTTAAATATAAAAACAAAAAAAAAAAAGAAACCACCAAATCTCTAAGTTACTAAGAAGTACACACGAAAAAACTGATTTTTTTATAGTGAAAAACCTGTGTCTGAAGGGTATTTATTGTATTTTAAAGATGTCATAAATGCTTATTCATATATATAGTATGTTTTCGAGTGAGTCAAAGAAAGAAACAAAAAGATTGATGGTATGTTATAATAAATATTTCTTGACTAACTTTGCCTCTTCCTTTCTTCTTTTTTTTTCTTTTTACTAAAGAAAGAAAATGCATAGATTAACATTTTTCTATTTGTCTTTTCAGTAATTATAAAGAACGAAATAAATAATCTTTCGTTCTTTGATAAAATAGGTGGGATGTCTTAAAAAATCAAGTAAGAAAGAAAAAAGGTGGGCGATCATCTCATCTACACATAACTGCCATACCAGGCATATATATGTTCGTCTGGTTTTTTTTGCTAGTATGCATGCATATGTTGTATGTTTGACTAATAACAACAATAGATGGTACTTCATTTATTATCTTGTATTTCAAGATAGATAGTGACAAAAACAAGAGAATACCACATAGAATAAATAGTCAACGATAACAACAATAACAACATCTGATTAAGCTTTAAATATTCATGGTCGTTAATTTCATAGATAATTTATTATAAATTTCATCTAAGTAATGGATAATTTCAAAAAAATAATAATGAAAATACATACGTGTATTTTGCGTATGAAAAATAGTATAATTGTTATTTTTTGTTTTTCTATAAGTGGAGTATAAAAATTTATATGCGAAATAACGAATGATTTTTCGAGTCGAAAAAGAAAAACGACAACATGGTGAGATATTAAAAAGGGTACATGACGAAATAAACTTATTTTAAAAATACGCAGTTTACTATATTATAAATAGAAATAGTCATCAACGAAGTCTTACCGGTTAAGCAATACTCATAAAAGCATTACATTTTCGCTTGCTATTCATATGAAGAAAAAAAAAACCAAATATGATAATAAGAAAAAAAATAAAGCATATGGTTCCAATCGAAAAAACGTTCCGGTTCACTAAATAAAATGACAGATTCAATAGAAATAAATATTTTGAATCAATATCATTGTGCTTAGCTGGATTTAGTAAGAAGAAAAAAAAACATATGATAGGTAACGATCAGCGTCGTTTATTATAAAACATAATGAAAAGAAAACAGGTGTTTGTTTTAGTGATTGAAAATATTATTTTTCTTCGTACAAAAAAAACAAAATTCATATTTATTATTACACATTAATATCTTATAATTATTCTCCAGGGATATGGGCACGTGTTTTAACCGTTAAACGCATATAAATATATTAATAGGTAAAACATAGATACATTCTAACCGTTTTTTCTAATCAATACATATGAAGAAATATGTCATACTAATAATAATAATAATAAAATAAGAAGAAAGATAATTGTTTGAAAAAATGTGGCAACAATGATTGCGAGCTATCTCCGAAGTAGGCGAAGATTCTCTCACCCATTAGAGCCTAAATTATACTTTTCTTCCACTTGACGACTATTTCTGTCATAGATAAAATTTATCGAATCAGAAACGGTGCTTTTGGGAAGATTCGAACAAGGACATATCAACATATGAAGCCATTCGACTAGAATATATTCTCATTAGAAATAACAAAATCAATAGGAATTCAAGGTTTGTTCCCACATATGTTCCACACATATTCGACAAAAAATGTTAACAAGAATTACTTTCTATTCTCTTTATCTTACCATTTAATTCATCGAATCAGATATTCCAAGTGCAAAAAAATAACCATCAAATAATTATTTCATTTTGCGGTTATTACGACTATATTTTGATAGAATCACTATCGCGGGGGGATTTTTTTTCTCTCTCTCTCTTTTATATGCGTGTATCTACTTGTCAATTTTTCTTTTTTTGCTTGAAAATATCGCATAGACTATTAATATATGATCGTATAGAAGAAAAAAAAAAGATATCATCTTTCTCTACGAAAAAAAAAAATTCGATATTCACCTTTTAATTTTCTTTTCTTAAGTGAATAACGAATGTTTTCAAGGCAACAGCTGTACATTACCATTAACGATTTATTTTACAGGAATAATATCATTGACTGATATAATATTCTTGTCCCTCCTCTTTTCCCTTGTGTATATATCATCAAGTATAACTAAACAAACCTGTTTGCTTTATGTAGCATTCGTTGTTGACTGAGTGCAACCATCATGGATAGCGATGGCCTCGAGACGTTCGTGTCTTTTATTGATAATAGTAGCGATGATGGAATCAAGCGAAGAGTGATAATAGTTGAAGGCTGTAAAATATGACTCATCAGATAAAAGTATTAATGCTAATGTTATTTTACACAGCTGGAATGTTTCCTATTTGTAGAACGAGTTAAAAGGAGAATATATAAGCATAAGAACGCTAAGTTAAAGGACAGATATATCTAAAATAAAAAAGAATAATAATATATATGCAATACTTTCCCATTATTTGATCAATAGAATAGTATCAGAAGAAAATGCTGAATTATCTTATTATACTGTAAATCAGTCACTCAAGGTCAATTGAAATGGATTCTGCTTTCTTTTTGGCTTTGTTACATCATTTTGAAAATAAATATCATAACTTAGTTTAAATGAATTCTATCGAAGTATATAAGATAAGACTTGCATATTAATATAACCATGAATTTGATAATGTCTTGAAATTTGATGAGAAAGATTATTTTCTTAAATACATCAGTCATACATAAATGTTTATTGGTTTTTTCATTCTATTTTTTTTTTCTCAAATCATTACATAAAAAAATCATCATTCATGTGAAGATAGTAACACTAAAAATTCACACTAGTGGGAGTGTATACAACTAGAAGAGAATAAATGTTTTAAATGTTCTGCTTGCGTTAATGCTGAGCATAATGTTCATAACCTTGTCCATCACGGACTTGTATTCCACCTGAACCACCTGATGAAACAAGCTTTTCAACACCTGTATCTTCATGTGAACTTGCTCGTCGACCAGTTTGTGTATCGGCTTTTTTTTGAACCGGTATCAACACCATCAGAAGGGCTTTGTTTACCTTCAATTGAACCTTTATTATTAATAGATGAATCTTTCGTTTCGTTAGTAGACGACATAGTTTAGTTTTAAATATTCGATGAAATATAACAAATAAGTAAATGACAATTAAATCAACGACGAAATATGTTTTTGTCTCGATTTCTTATCCAATACAATAGTTACCACTTGGTAGCCTCCTTTCATATACGACTACAAGGGCGGCATTAACCAATCATAGAACAATGAACAGCTGTGGTTATTGTTTATAGGTTTATTGTATAAAAAAGATGTTTTGATTAAAATAAATAACAAATTATTTTTTTTAATTTTGTATCTATTCATCGATAAAAGAGTATTTTTAAGACCTTAAAAAAACTCAATATCATTCAGTAGTCTTTTAACAATGGTTTAGTATTTTTAAAATAGTTCGATATTGAAATACGAATCTTGAGGGTGGGTGTGAGTGTTTTAAAATCTTAGTAGCTAATTTCATTCTGATGTATTAGATTCATTATCTAAGAAGGTTTTTTAATGATACGATTTTTATCTAGAATCATACGTGACAGTATAAGTCGATATCGTAAAAAGAACTATCATTCGATATTCTCATATACTGATGAGTTAACTAAAAAATTCTGTACGTTATAAAGTACGTTAAATTGTTTTATTTTTAAACAAGAATGTAAATATCAATATTAGAGGTTGAATATTCAACAGAAATAGCTGGTCTGTATTACTGGTTCGGGTTTTTAAAGTTGAGTTGTCTGTTCAAAGTTTGTTTTTCAAAGAGAATGCATCTCAATAACAAAACAGATATTGTTAGTATTCGGAAATGTGATTGATAGAAATCGATAAAAGTCTACAAGACAGTTCTTTAGATTCAATTTAAAATAGAGCCTATTGATCTCTAAAAAAATGAGTATTAAATTCAATACTCTTCTGTCAAATGGATACTCATATATCACACAATATTTGTAAACAATAGAACAATAAATTTCAGTTATTATTAACTATTTGAATCATCGATTTTTGATTTTTATTTATATAAAAAAAAATTAATCTACCAAAATAATTCTACAGGATGTTCATCGATAAAATGATCGTTTTCCTCTGTTTTTCTATCTGTTCCTCCACCTCGATAGAAAAACATTCCAATTAAAATAATTGGTAATGCACCAAGACTAAATCCAATATCCCAACCAGTCATATCTCCTACACCAGCCCATTTATTAATTGCAGGAAAAATAAACCAAAATGATGTTGATATTAATGGTGAAATCGATGATAAAATTGATAGCCAATTTGCAGATACATGATCAGTAAGAAATGTACTTGTTATATATGTTCCTAAATATGATATAATAAATAAAGCACCTGTACCACCTGCATAATTACAGCGATTACCAGTACCGAGACTACTATCATTAAAAAAACATTTAAAACCTTTTGAAAATGAACTCCAAAATGACGTAATATCTTTTGATGTACCAAAATTTGGTACTAAATCAAGTGCAAAACATAGTGCAATTGTAGCAAATTGAAATGTTGATTCAACAGCTTGAAAATACATAACTGAAAATCTTGTAATTGTTCTTTGATTTTCTCTTGCTTCTTGAGTATATTTCATTTGTAATTGTTCTTGAATAATATTCATTAAAGCACCAGGTATACATCCGAATATAAATATAAATGGCCAATACCAACCATCTTTTAATTCTGTTTGTGTTGTACCATCATGCATACGTTTAAATGTTGGTATAAGACTAAATGCAATACCAACTAATACAACAGATACACTTAATATATGACGCCAATGATATGTTTTAGGTAAAAGTATTTTTGAAAAAATAAATGTAAATGGAATTATTATCTGAATAAGAATTGATGATAATGCCGGTGGTACACGACTACCATGTGAACTAAATACGATTAAAAAACCATTAGCAGCATCAAAAACACCAACTAAAAGCATAAATTTTATCCAACGAAATGCAACCATTGAACGTGTTATTTGTTTTTTAAAACCAAACCATACTGATAATAAACTGAATACTATTGTAAATGAAAGTGAACAAAAGAAAAGAACAAAATATACTCCTGTAAGTCCATTAAAACTTCCAAGAAATAATACTAAACCAATTGATTGTCCACTAGCAAATAGAACATTAATTATTGACATAAAAATAGCAACAGCAGCAAAACGAACATGCCATCTACGCCAAATTGTAAAGCCAGGGTGGTACGATTTTTTATTAGAGTGAAGTAAAGAAGTTTGCTCGTCGTTTATCATTTTTTGATATATATGTCATCTCATCGAATGAACTCATCTATTTATATTTTTTAGAATAAACATTAAGTCATGATGACGAATTCAGATGTTCTTCTTCATGACATACACAGAATTTTATGTTCTATCATTATGATAATAGTAGTCTCTCGTTTCATATATTCTGTATTATCTTATCTGTTTTTGTGTTTTTACAGTAAAGATGACAACAAGTGCATTATTGACCGATTTCAATTTATATAAGAGGTTATTTTAAGTAGGTCAAAGTTTACTTTTTTTTATTCGATATTAAAATATTGTTCAGGAATATATATAAACTGAATAGAAATAAAAAAACGTTAAAATTCCTAGTTTTATTTTTTAGCCTTGATTATATATATTTCAAGTATAATAAGTTGTTCGAAAACATCACCTAAATAAAAACAATATAACAGCAAAGAAAAAACAATGTGTACATTGATCACTGTACATTGATCTCGTACTGCGTGAATAAAATAAGCAAAAAAAACAGATTTTTATCCTTTAATAACGGCTATCGGTCTCAATTTAACAGCTAATTTACTAATACCAGCTGCATGACATGTTTCAACAACATCGGTTACATTTTTATATGAATCAGGTGCCTAAGAATAGAACAAATCGGATAAAAATGATAGTTTTAGAAAGAAAAAAAAACATACTTCTTCTTGAACAAGTTTTGGTGATGCAACACGAATAGCAATACCTTTTTCTTTTAATTCATCTAATACTTCATACCAATTAAGATTTCGTCGAGATTTAGCACGGGATAAAGCTCGACCCTAGACAAAAAATAATTTTTGTTTAAGTAGAAAAATAAAAAGCATAACTTACTGCTCCATGACAAGTTGAACCAAATGTTTCTTTCATACCTTGTTCAGTTCCAGTTAAAACATAACTACACGTACCCATTGTACCTAAAGATCTATTTTTAAGAAAAATCATTATTACATACATTTATTTTTACCTCCGATGAGTACAGGTTGTCCTGTAATTTGATAATCAACTGGAATAAGTGGATGATGAGGTGGAAAAGCTCTTGTTGCACCTTTTCGATGTACTAATAAAGTTTTTTGTTTACCATCACTCATAACATGTTCTTCTACTTTAGCGATATTATGTGATACATCATAGATTAAATGCATATCAAGATCATCAGGTGCTGAATTGAAACATCGTGCAAATGCCTATAAATACAAATTTTTTATGAAGATAAAATACTTTATTTCGCATTCATTCACTCACTTGTCGTGCTAGAAAGGTCATTGAAGAACGATTAACCCATGCATAATTTGCAGCTGCATACATTCCTTTTAAATAATCTTGACCTTCAGGAGATTGAATTAAAGCACAAGCTAATTGTCGATCATTTGTCTGAATCTGATCACGTTTCATAGCTTTTTCCATAGCAACAAGAGCATCTATTATAGATTTAAAATTTTATTATGCTTGTTTTTTCTAAAAAAATGAAAATAATTTCTTCTTACCAGTAGCCACTTGATGACCAAGACCACGACTTCCACAATGAATCATAACACATACTTGTCCTTTAAAATCAATACCCATTTTACCAGCAGCAAAACGATCATAAATTTCATCAACAACTTGTATTTCAGCATAATGATTACCAGCACCAAGTGTTCCTAACTAAATCAAAATATTTATATAGCATGTATTAACTGAATTTTATTAACTTAAGACTATTGTTATTTTTTGTTTGTTCTATTTGCATGGTCTAACTTCAGAAAAAAATCGATAGCATAGTTTTTATCAGAACTTTAATTACATTTAAATATAAAAAAATACAACTGTTTTTGTTCTAACTTATCTCTTATATCTTAACTTAAACGTATTATTGGAAAAGTTATAAAATAGAACATATAGTTAATTTTTTATTTTTCCGTCAAATTACCCATTTTTTAATGTTGTCTATAAAAGGTGCTCCAGAAGTTCTGAAAAAATTTTAAAATTTATTGTTCTGACACATGATAAAAGCAAACTCTTCCGAACTTTCAGAGGTTAGTATACATATGGAGTACTACAAAGTTTGATGTCTATATCCTTTACTGTAAATGAGTACATAAAAAAACATTATCATCTTGATTATTACTTGTTAATACAATGAATTTAAAAAAAGATAAATTATATACATCGAATTGTCACGTGCAAAAACGAGCGTGCGGGGGTAAAAAAACAATTTTCTTTTCGCTTAAATTCGTCAATAAAAAAATCCTGGAAATAGTAATTGTTCTCTCGTTATTACATTCCATTATATGAATTTGTCTAATTGGAAAATCGAAAAAATAGTGAATGATAATGTTTTTTCATGTACTCATTTATAGTAAAAGCTATAGACATCAAACTTTGTAGTACTATATATGTATACTAATCTCTGAAAGTTCGGAAGAGTTTGCTTTTATTATATGTCAGAACAATAAATTTTAAAATTTTCTCAGAACATCTGGAGCATCCTTAATGTGTTTTTAAGAATAGCTAATAAGATCGATTAAAAACATAGAGAAATTGAAGACTTTATATTTCTTAAGTAATATTATGATGAGCATTAAATACATATAATAACTAGTATAACATATCATATGATATAGTGAAGTATACTGTTAATCAGAAGAAGTATCAAACTACAATACTTTGCAGTTAGAAAAACAGAATGAAATATTCTACTGAGTTTTAATGTGTTACCTGTGGTAAACCACGTTTTTTTGCACGTTGGGAAACTTTTGTTGGATCGGCTTGTAACATTCTTCCATATTCCTCACAATGTTCTTTATCTTCTGCCCATGAATATCCTTCACGCAATGACCAATCCATACCCATTTCAAGTGCTTCTTCAAGATCTCTAAATTCATAACAAAACTTTCTTATATGAAAAACAGAACAACACTTTATTCTGTCGTAAATCATACTTTGCATTCATTGGTATAACACCTTTAGATCCAACACCGACTGGTATATGATCAAACATTGCTTGTGCTAATTGTTCTTTCATGGGTTGTACATCTTTTTCAGTGAGATTTGTTCGTAGCAGACGTACACCACAATTTATATCAAAACCAACACCACCAGGTGATACAATAGCTTTTGGATCATTATAATCAAAAGCAGCCATATTACCGATAGCAAAACCATAACCTGAATGAACATCAGGTAAACCAACCGATCTCTACAGAAAAACAACGATATTTAAGAAATATATATAAATTTAAATCATAAAGAAAACATACGCCAACTATGCCTGGTAATGCTGCAACATTAGCAATTTGTTTCATACCAGGAAGAAAACCACCAATACCACCGAATTTCGTTGAATTTTCTAGTTCTTCAAACATTAATTTTTCCAAATGATTATTAACATAAAAAATTCCTTCAACCTAAATTAATATTACAAAATTTTTTTCGAAAAGAAAAATATATGTACTTACATTCATATTAGGTACAAAACCTTTTTTAATACGCCAACAATGACCATTAATACGTTCAATATATTTTAATTCTTCTTCGTATGTACGAGGCATAATAAATCAATTACGGAATTTTAGTTAAGAAATCCAAACGATTAGTCTTACGAAATGAATAAAATAAATAGAGTTACTTGCTTGTCCATACTTTTTTTTTCTATTGATGATAACAACCAATTCAAAGATTTGACTACGAAAGAGTCCGCTAGCTTGTTGTCGAAAAAAAATGTTATACGATATTAAATTTCTCAAAAGAAAACCATCTCATATGTATTATATCGAAGAGAGTATCCATGTAAATCTCGATTCGAGACAAGCATCAAACTCAAACATGTTATTTTCTCGTTTACTTTAAATTTATATATTAAATAATCAAAAAACTTGGAAAATTCATGCACTGTATAACATACAAAAAAAGAGAAAAAAGATTAAAGTATCATATGCGAATAAGATAGTTGAAATGAATTATCAAATGATTGTTTTTGTATAATTAAATCATCTTGTTGAATATTATTTTTCATAAATAAATTATTTTTATTACAATTATTTAACATACAATAAAATGCTGATATAAGTTCATTTTTTTCTATTGAAAGACTATTTTTATCGAGAAGATTAACGCATAATGTTGAAAATGTTATTGGTAATGACGAAGATTTGGAAGATTCAGTATTATATTCATCTATTAATTGATATTGAAGTTTTTTTGTGTCAATTTTAGTAAAATTTCGATCAAATTCTATTCTATCATAATGAATTGGACGAGTAAAATTATAATCAAAAGGTTCATCATTACAATCAGCTATATAATTATCATCATGTACTGGATATGGATCAGAATTATTTAATAAATTTTGTATTTTATCATCAAAAATTAATTCCGGAATATTATTTGAACGCATTAGTTCATTTATAGAACAGAAACTTCGTGAAAGTCGTAATTGATGATTATGTTGAGATATATTTGTAAGTATTGTTCGTTTTTGTTTTTTTATTATTGATTTACTCAATGGATTAATTGCCATTAGTTCATTAACTGATCGTTGTTTATCATGATTAGATAAATCTAATTTAAAATTTCGTCTTGTTTTATATAATGGATGAATAGAAGTTTTTGCCAAACGATTATTATTTATTGATGTATTTTGATTAGTTGGTAATGACGGTTTAATTAGATCTGGTAGAAGATTAATATATTTCCATACATACGGTCCAGCGAATAATTTAAGTTTCGTTGCATCAAAATAGGTATAATCGGATGGGTCAGTCTTTTGAAAATTAAAAAAAAAGAAAATGTATTAATGAAAAATATGAATGTACCTTTTCACGAAGTAGACTAGGTACAGAATCGACAAATGACAGTTTGTTTGGTAGTAATGTCATATCCATTGATGGTATTATCGGTGGACCGACCTACAAGATAATGAATAATGGTTATTCAAATGAGAATAAAAGAATGGCTTTTTTTTTGTTACATAAGTTGATTGTAAATCTTGATAATGAAAACTTGCTCCTTCATCACGTAAATCACTTAAAATATTTTGGTCATCTTCGTTACTTAAATTATCAAACATTGAACATTCATCGATTGTTTCAATATATGATTCTGTTGATTCTTCATTAAATGTAAATTCTCTTAATATTTGACATCCTATATTTCGACAAAAAAAAAGAATTCATCTTGTCTTTTTTCTTGTTAAATCTTTACCAAGAAAATGATTTTCTCCTTCGTATTCTTTAATAATTTCTCTCAATGGAATTAAATCACACATAATCTCAGCAGTTACATCAAGTATACTTTCATTATCAACATATTCCATATTAATTCGACTATCAAAATTAACGAAACCATCAACAACAGGAAAATCACTTGATGAATACATAGTATATGAAACCATTTCAGCATAAAGTGTTTCGGATCCAACTCCACCTGGCCATTTGCACATATTCGATGGTTGTAATGGATAAAAATTAAATTCATATGGAATTGATATTGTTGTTAAATCTGAAACAACATGGGATTATTCATAAAAGAAGTCCTAACAAAAAAAATTCAATCGTTTTACTGTATTGATTCCCCCTAATAACCTTGAAAATAAAAATGTCGAAAGATCAAAATATCGAAAATACAAATATCGAAAAGCCAAATGCTCTATAATTAGAAAAGCAAAAATATTGAGAATGAAAGAAAACAAAAGTAAAAACACCTTTCGCTCTCACCCACAATATTATATTACCGCATACACCCTCACTTTCGTATTCGATATTTTGATTTTCGATATTTTTATATTTCGACATTTTTATGTTTCGATCAAATTAGGGTTAACCGTTGTTTCTTACGAGGGAATCATCCAAAGTGTCAAAAAGCTTTTCCACTCAAATTTTGTCTAGAAGTAGGGAATAGATAGACTAGAAAAAGTTTAAGACGATATGGGTGCAAGTTGACACATCGGCTTTTTACTAGAATTTTCCTATAGGATAGCATTTCTCCCATGAAATCAAGGCCTTAACCACAGTAACTCATCCACAAAGTTTCAAAATTTTTGGGCTAAGCATTTTCGAGGTACAATGTTTTGAAAATTTCTATGCGTACAATAATATTCGTAAAAACTGTGTTCAGCGGCCATATCCTCTTAGACCTTTTCTAGTCTATATATTCTTACTTTTGGATACCTCAAGTGATTACCTCGTTAGACTATTCAAAAAAACACGTATTTAATCTAGGCACGGAATACATTCGTTAGAATGATAAAAACAACAGTTTAACAATTTTATTATGTGTCTGATTTTTTTTCTTAACGTCTTTTATGAATGAACTATATATGAATTTGATCTACGTCTACCTTGTTGAGTTGCTTTTTTCATTGTTTTTAACTGATTAGAATCAATATCTATTGGTTCCTCTTCTTCTTCGTCTTCTTCTTGAGATTGAATACTTCCACTAAATATTTGTGTTTCATTATGTAAAGCATCAACACGTAAACCGTAAATCTTAGCACTAAAAAAACTAATAAATAGATATTTAGAATTTTTATTTTGTACCTTGTATCAATAACAGATCCAACTTTAATAAAATTAGGTCCATCATTATCATGATTATTATTAAATTGTATTTTGCTATCAAATCCTATGATATTTAAAATTTCAGGTAGCCGTTCAACAAATGAAAGTTGAAATGCATTGTTTACATTAATTTTATTCTTTGCTGCTAGTTCAATTGTTTTTTCATATAACTCAATCAATTGTTTAGGTGTTGGAATATGTTCATCAATGCCACTATCAGCACTAAATGAATTATTAAATGATAAACGTGATTGTCGTCGATCAGAAGGAGGTATTTCACTATCCGGTGAGAAATCATTTGTTGTTAATTGATTTCGACCAATTAATGAACTAAATCATATTGAGAATTTCAAAGAATATACATAATAATAATAATATTATTTACCATCGTCGTGGTATTGGTAAACATTCCTCATCATCATCTTCGTCGTCGTATATCATTTTCTTTCTGATTCATATTCTATTTTCTCCACTATCAAAATGAGTTTAGATATGTAGCGCTAGCTTCGATGTTAATTTTGAATTTTCATAATAGGATTATTCATTCTTCAAAAAAATACTGATTTATAGATATAAAAGAACTAGTATTATTTGTTTTTTATGTAAAGAAAAACAATCAATTAGTATTCTTGTAATGTTATATTTGAAATACATTTAACAGCATTTTTTCTCTTTTGAAACTGTGAAGATTATTTTTCAATATTAGAAAAATTTGGAAACTCTGCTTTTTGACTGGAGTCTTTTTCTTATAAAAAAAATCTTTCTAGAACATCGAAACTACTTAGTTCTTTCGAAGTTAGTGAGTCCTTATCATTGTTTTTCTATTGGATAAAAATTATTTTTTTTTATTTTGTTCTGTTTATTCATTGGTTCATATGTAATGAGCAATATTTATTTTCCATTACATATTTGATCAGCATTTTTCTTCTCTCTCTCCCTCTCTCCTCCCATACTCTATTAGCTGTTCATAAAAGCACATAGTCAATTACGCTTTCATATCGGTTTATTGACAAAACGCTCGATAATCTTCTTCTATTCACTTTAAATTTTATACAACCAAAAACAAATGTGTAAGTAGACATTCCACATGTTTTATCTGATATCTATACATAGATCAACGCTTCGTTTTATTACAAAAGTCAGTAATATAGAGTACATACAAGGATCCTAGATTTTCTACAATTTTTCAGGGACACTAATACGCATTTCATATGTATTGAGTACATTATAAAATTCCAACGAAAAGCGTCCTTATGAAGTTTTCAATTCTCGCGAAGGCGGATCTAGCTATTAGGCGACCGCCATCCCCTCAAAAATAGGTAGAACACTATACGTTTCTCTCCTAAAAAATAATACTACTTTCCACTGTTTTTTATAAACCGCCACTCCCTTATCGAAATCTTGAATCCGCCACTGAATTCTCGTTGATCTTTTTTTTATCTTCTAAGAACTTCTTTCTTCAGTTTATTCTATATTTTTGTTTCCAGACACTTACAATATAATTCCGTAACTCTCCCGTACTTATCATTTCTTTTAATTGCATTTCTATTATAACATACAAGTAGTTCATCTTATCCGATAATCTACATTATAATACTCTCATATGTTTGATATAATTCGTGATCATTGCATTTCTGTATCTTTTTCTTGAAGCGCATAACATTAAAATATATGGTGACGAATTTCGCACGAAAAAGAAATATCTTATCACACGGTAGCAGCACACAAGTGTTGTATCATTTTTGTTAAAAGCATTTATAAAAATATGTCTGCTAGATACACGATATGTATACATGTAGATAATTGTTATTACATTCCGCTTTTCTTTTTTATAAGTGACATAATTGTTGTTGAAAGTTCGTATTAAGACACCGAAAACAATAACGGATCATCTTCACTTGACTT